CTTCCAGGTTGATGGAAATGTTGAGGAAGTGAGTGAACGATTGAAAAGTTTGGTTAGGATGGGAGTTACAACACTGGAAGAATCTTTAAGTAACCTAGCGCTGATTTTGTCGAGTCCTACAGCTTTGTTGGTTTTAAGATTGTTCAGAACACCATACACATAACTTTCTTCAATTGGCTGGAAAACAAATTCATTTTCCCTAAACTGACTAGGTTGCTTGATAGAAATCCGATTTGGATACAAATTTCTTATCTTAGATGCCAATTTGGATCCTATGCTTGAGAAATGGTCGTTTAATGACTCAGCTATAGACTTTGGGTCGGTATGAGAAACACCATTAGCTTCAATACAAGATGGCGAGCAGTGAGATTTTCGTGACGAGATGTCATTTAACGTTTTCCATAAAGCACTAGTGTTTCCTTTATTCGTATTGATCAGGTTCGAGTAGTATTCAGCTTTGCATTTCTTAACATTTATATTGACGTAAGATTTAATCTTCTTGTACATCATCCAATGAAAGGGCGAATTTGACTTAACGGCTTTGCGATGGTGGTAGTCGCGATCTTGCATTGCGTTGCTTAAATCAGTAGTAAGCCATGGGGTTTGGATTCCTTTTGTTCTCAATTTCTTAATTGGAGCATGAAGATTGGCAACATTTGTGAACAGATCATTCCATTTACTTACAGCGACATTAATGTCTTGTTCTTCGTCAATAAGGTCGAAATTAACATGCACAAGATCGGCGAGGAAAGATGGCTTTGAATAAGTCTTGTAGGATCTGTATTCTATGACTCTTCCTGGTGCTCTACGTACACCCACTTTAACAACACAGTAGATAAGAGAATGGTCACTTAAGTTTACGTGTAGGACTCCGGAGGAAACTATTCGATGATTATTGTTAGCGAATAGGAGATCAATCAATGTACTTGAGTTCTCAGTTATTCTCGTTGGTTTATCAATAAGTTGTTCAAGATTGTACATGCTGGTAAAGCTTAGAAGTTTTCGCTTAAGAGCTCGGGAAGTATCTTTTTTGTAGCTAAAAAGTTCACATTAAAGTCACCAAGTAGTATTACTTCAGCTTCTAACGAAATAGAGGACAATGCAGTATCAAGTTCTTCAGTAAGTGACTCTAACAATTGATCAGGGGCTTTATAGATTGTGAATATAAAAAGGCTTTTGCATTTTGGACGAGTAATTTCAATAACAGTGGATTCGATATTGCTACTCAGAAGGTCTGTCCGTATTTTGTAAGGGATGCCATCTCTCACAAATGCCAACGTTCCACCACCAGATCTTCCATTCCGATCATTTCTGGAAAACGTATAGCCAGGAATAGAGATTTCACCATCAGTTATATCAGAGTTTAGCCAGGTTTCAGAGATCGTAAAAATATCAAAAGGTTTTTCATTAAGTAGAAGCTTTAATGAATCTATTTTATTGTAGATACTTCTGATATTGAGGTGTGCAACTTTAAGACCCCGAGATTGAAGAAAACCACTTGCTTGATGACTATTAGTAATCGACGCAGGTCCAGGGTTAGATTCTACGTCACCAGATATAGAAATAACTAGAACTGCAAGAATTGCGTATAGCAGTAAACGGCACCCAGAGAAAACCTTTGATGAATTCGGCAATGATCTTCGTATTTCCCTTTTTCGTCGACAACCGTATTTAACTAGACTCATGATATGGGTTGTTGCGATTTCCCCGGACAAATTTTAAAATTATTTCAGGCTCTGAGAGTGTATAGAAAACATGGG